CAAAATAACTCTTCTTACCACATTATTTAAAAAATAATAATTGTAATATATAGATGTAATACCTGAAGAGAATTTAGTTTTTATTTGTATAAACTTAAGCCAATTCTTCTCTGCATTTTAGTGCAGTCAATGCTTTGGTAATTGGAAGCCGACAGTTTTATCACTAATTCAATTAGATGGAATTACTTCTTCTTGTAAATCTTTATTCCATACAGCTTCTTTCCGCATATTCGATTTTGAAAAAATTACATGAGCTAATATAAAATGAAGAAACCATAATATAAGTGTACTAACAGGCCTAATTAAACTAGCTAAATTTGAACATTTTATAACCATGATACTTGCTAAACAATAATATTAGTAGACATTATTAGCAAAGATAAGATTTTCTTTATTTTATAAATTTATTATATTTTAAACTCATTTTTATTAATTTATTTATTACTCTATTATTCAGTAGAGATCTGAATATATTATGCTCAAATAACTTAAGGCTCAATAACCAAGACAAATAATGAAAGAATACTAGGTTGCTAAAACATAAACATCTACATAAGATAATTATGGAATATTGAAAAAAAAATAGAAATACAAAAAAACAAAAATACTCATTATTAATATAAAATATAAAAGTATAATATAAGGTATATTATAATATATGACACAATAGTATCTACTTTTAATTGAAATATAAAAACAACAAAAATTAAAAAAGAAAATATTTTGATAAATAATAAATTATCATTCAAACAATTTACAAGACCGAAAAATAACTTGTAACTTATTTTTTTACTTATCTTCATCTAATAAACATTACTTATTTTTTACTCATCTTCATCTAATAAACATTAATATTAATACCAATTTTAAACATTATTAGAGTTTTTTTTTTATCAAAAAATAAAAATATTACATCAGTTACTTTTTGGTCTTTTCTTATTTTACTTAAAACATCAACTCAATTCTAGGCTTTTTTCATAATTGAGTTATTTTTAATGTTGAATTAACACTGAAAAAAAAAAATATTAGCAGACAAAAAGAAAATATTTCTTTATTGAAATATATGTAAATATTTCAATAAAGAAATTTTAGATTGATTTTTATAAATATAAATTTATATCAATCAATCTAAATTTTCTTCTTTTCCGCCACCTTTTCAAAATGAAGTGCATTTTTAGAAGTTAGACAAAATGCCATCAATTAAAGTTTCAGTCGCTCCATCGTATTTAATAGAAGAAGCTGTTAATAAAAAAGAATTAGAAAAAAAAAAAAAAAAAAACACAAGGAGAAATTTTTGAATATATAAAAAATGAGAATAAAAAAGTTTTACATATCTTATAAAGGCATACCTTTCACTACACCATATAATTGAGTGCTCTTAAAGCATATTTCCACCTTTCCCCTTCATATTCATGGAGGTCACAAAATTGTTGGAAAATATTCTAAATTTTAATAGATAAGAGAACTGATATTAATTATGCGAGAACTAATATTAATTTTTTTTTTTTAATTTAAATTGAACTCATTATCAAACAATTTTTTGCTAAATAATTTAATCCTTAAAATTTCTGAATAATTAAAAATTGTTTTGATTACCTCAGCACTTTAAAGATATTCCATCAATTGCAATTGATTCACCTAAAAAACAACAACAAGTAAAGCTAATATTATTGTTTCAAATTTTAATTATCTTTATACAAATACTCATCATATTTTTAAAGTGACTGATAAAAATGGATTTAATTAAAATCACTTCATTTGTATTAAAAAATTAATATTAAAGCCTTCATCATACATTATACAAGAGTATTTTGTAATACAATCTAAATAGTTGTTGCGATATGTAATTTTTTTATCCAAAATTTAGCTTCTGTAAGCTTTAGAAATTTTTTAAAGAAATTGTTGATGAATTTGGAGCTACGGGTACTTATGTTTATATATTGTTGTAATGTTTGTATTCATTCCCTTTTAGTTTCTGTAAGTCAAAATTTTAAGGTGTTTCTATAATAAATTCTGTTATATCTGAAATTTAGTGTTAGTCTAAATAATTTAATTTCTAAAATCTGTTTTGCATTGCCTGTCTTATAACATCTTTACTTGGAACAAAAACCATGTGGTTTAAAAGTGAGCTAGAAGCTTTTAACAATGAAGAAAATATTGCATTCGCTAATCCTAAAAATATATATTAAACCTGTCAGCAAAATCAGCTTTCAATAATCCAAGTATTAGCATGATTAAAAATTCATCTTTGCTGCATTACATTTATTTTGGTCCAAGTAGTTAAGGATTTTTTTAAATTTCAAAAAACAGAAGTAAATGTTTTTTTTAATATCACTTTATCTCTTTTGATTAATGGTGATACTGCACTAACTGATGAAACACATTGACAGATGTAAGGCCAGTATAAAAGTCGCAAGATCTATTATTTTTAAAATAAATGTTTGTATACAAGTAAATTGCAATAACACGATTTGTTTGGATTATGTTTATATACAAATTTGTCTGTTTTCATAGTAATAACTGATGTGGTTGAAGTTAATTTTCCATATAAATCTTTATTTTTTTATTTTGTGCTGAAGTTCTTTTTTAAAGTTATCAATTTTCTTTTTTAATTCTTGATGCTCTATTAAAAAACAACGCTTAGCATTAAATTCAACATAATTTAATAGATCATTTTTTGAAAAAATTGTATTATACTTACATTTAATAATATCAGTCTTTGAGCATTGTAGCCCAAGTTAAACGAAAAATATCGATCTCTTGAAAATTCTATATTGTATAAGTTCAGTATTTACATTTTTTTTCCATTATAAATCTCTATAACTTTGAACCGTTGAAATAATGTTTACGTTTTTATTTCCATTTCTGCGCGCGCATAAATTTTACATCGTATTTTTTGTCAACAATGATTGAAATAATGACGTTAAAATAACGTTAAATAATCAACGTTTAAACTGTAACGTTGATTTAACGTTGAAATAACGTTAAATAATCAACGTTGAAACGGTAACGTTGATTTAACGTTGTGACATAGTTGAACAACGTTGAAACAACGCTTCAACCGAACTTCACTTTTACACAATTAGTAAAATTACAATTTTACTAATTAATTTTATTAATTAGTAAAATTGTCCGAGTTAGAATATATCAGAGTTAAACGAAGCTCGTTATGCCGAAGTTTTTGAAAATGTTTAATTTATCGAGATTATATTAGGCCGGGTAAATAAAAAAGAGCAATTGCTTTTACTCGTTGTTTTTGGAGTAATTGCTCAACTTTACGTGAATAAAAATTTTGAGCAATTGCTCTTTTTAACGCGAAAGCTTTTACTCATAAGCTTTTGCTCAAATGTTTAGCGATTGCTCACTTATGAGAAAAGCGCGTGAATAAAAAAGCTTCAACTCAAAAAACGGCGAGCAATTGCTTCTAAATTTACGAGCACCTATAATAGTTTGTTTTTTTTTGATAATCGGGCATTGATTTTGTTATATTACCTATATATTTTACTATTTTTTGACTATTGATGTATATATCTATATATTTTTACGTTATGCATTTATTTATAATTATACTAGCACGTTTTTGATACATTTATTTTTTTGGAATACAATTTTAGCAATACTGTTTTTCTTTGACGCTTCAAAAAATTTTGATTAAGACTTTTCAGTTTTCCCACATACGGAAGAACAAATTTTAAGAGCAAAACTGGATTGGGCAAACGAAAGAGGCTATTCATGTACAATAGGAGCTATTGATTGCACCCATGCAAGAATTGATAAACCCTATGGAGAATTTGCTGAAGAGCTTAATAAAAGAAAAGTGTTTGATTCAATCAACAGCAGGGATGCGAAGTCCCAAAAGGACTCCGGCTTTATATCTCTACTTTTTCCAAGTCTGTAGTGTCCAGAAGCTCAAAACATGTTTGTTGTTAATGACTTGAAACTTATTGTTTTTAAGCCAGGAGTCCTTGCCGCCACTATACGCAAAGACTCCAGGTTCAAAAAATTATTGTTCCTCTTACCTAAAAGTCCTAATTTTATTCCTGTTAGTAGTCCATAAACTTATTAATATTTTTAGAGCTCCTGGAAACCAAAAACAAGGAAGAAATAATCTTTTTGTGCCTTTCATATTCCTGTTGTTATACAGCTACTGTTGATTCAACAGTATCTGCGGTGTGATAATCTTATAGGTAAAAATTAGGCCGAAGATGATTGCTACATGTATCACTGCGAACTTTATACTGCACAATATTGCAAAAACTTTAAACAATTTTTGAGGATAAAAATGTGGAAGAAATTGTTCCTGTAATTGAAGAAACTTCGTTTACTTGGTCAGCAGCGTAAAAATTATAGTGCATTGGCAATATTAAATAAAGAGACAATGTCTTTTAAATTAAGTGCAATGTCTTTTTATTTGTAACAAATTGAAAACAACATAATTTTTTAATTTATTGTATTGTTTATGTTATAAAAAATATACTTTCAACGTTTTCTAAGATAAATAACTAATTTAAAGAATTTTAAAGATGTGCTAACATTTTCAAGTTTTATTTACAGTAAAACATACAAAAGTTTCTCAAATGTCAGTTATAATATGTTTATGACTTAATATCTTATTCACAGTTATAATATGTTATAGACTTAATGTAATAATATTTTTATGTAAGTAAATCTTTATTATTAGGATATTAAAATATGCATTATTTGGTAATATAATTATAATATGCTATAAATTTAAGAAATATTTTTAAATAAGTTATAACTGACATTTAAGAAATAAAATGAAACATAAAATCTCACTTGAAATAAAACATAAAAAAGTGACATTTTAAAGAAGATTTCAGTTACTGAAATGTATAAAGATACTTCTATTAATTTAAATTAATTCAGCCTTCTTTTAATACTATGTATAACGTTTTTAAATGTTGAAAATGAAATACATGGTAAAAAAAAACTTAATTTAAGTAAATTTAAAACTACTGTACATTTAACAGTAACCAAAATTTATTTTCACGTTTTTATGTTTTGTTTCCATCAACGTTTATATCAACAACAATATCTATCTCCTCTTCATTTAATACATGTTGGGGTGTAGTATATTTCAACTTTAAATTTTTTAACCAATATTATTTTAGCTGCTCCAGCATGACCACACGCTGAAGCTCTGTATTCGTCCATTTTGTTGTTTCTTTAGTTTCACCAGGTAGTTTTAATCTTTTTGGAATTGACCTCGATGCTTGAGAAGATGTGTTCCCTGAGAAATAAATCAATTTAAGTAGATTAAAATCACCAACATATTGATAGTTTTACATAAAATATAAAAAGAATAAAATTATATTGGAAACAGGTGTACTGCAAATATACCATATTAAAAAAAAAAAACCACAATAGTAACTTACTGCAACTACTTTTAACATTAGCAATATTATATATATATATATATATATATATATATATATATATATATATATATATATATATATATATATATATATATATATACATATATATATAACATTGCCCCTAAGCATGTATGCGTATATATATATATATATATATATATATATATATATATATATATATATATATATATATATATATATATATATATACGCATACATGCATATATATATACGCAATACATTTGTATGAATATACATATATTTATATATATATATATATATATATATATATATATATATATATATATATATATATATATATATATATATATATATATATGTGTATATATATATATATATATATATATATATATAAATATATATATATATATATATATATATATATGTATATATGTATGTATATATATATATATGTATTTATATATATGTATATATATATATATATATATATATGTATATATATATATATATATATATATATATATATATATATATATATATATATATGTATATATGTATGTATATATATATGTATTTATATATATGTATATATATATATATATATATATATATATATATATATATATATATATATATATATATATATATATACATATATATATATATATATATATATATATATATATATATATATATATATATATATATATATATATATATATATATATATATATATATGTATATATGTATATATGTATATATATATATATATATATATATATATATATATATATATATATATATATATATATATACACAATATGTACGTATATAAATAAAGTTGTCTTTACTAACCATCAATTTGTGTGAAGGTAGGATTCTTTTCTGTATCTAAAAGATTAGCAAGTTTGACTTCACTCGCTGAAAGTTTTATAGGCTTGTTTCCAGTTCGATGGATGTCAGACTTTTTTTTTAACCTTGTCTTTATGTTGGCAATCTTTTTCGCCAATGTTTATGTATCAATTTTTGTTCCTGTTGCTTGGAACATTTGGTCTTGCATTTTTAAAAATGCTTTGTTTTTCTTTATTTTAACGTTTGGAACTTGGCTTTTTTGTAGAAGTATTGGCTATTCGCACAGTATGTTTATAAAAACTTTACCTTCACATTTGTTAAAACTTTGGCTAGCTATATTATTTTCACTTGATTCAATTGAAATCTGGTTTGAAGAAGCCATTTTTAAATATTAAAAGTTAAAAAAGCTACTTATATCCGCAACGGCATATAGCTTTTACTCCGACACAAAAGCAATTGCTTGCGAGCATTAGCAAAACTTTATTCACACATTTTGAGGAATTGCTATTACGGCGAGCATTTGCTTTTAGCTTTTACTTTTACTCAAAGCAATTGCTTTCGAGCAATTGCTCTATTTATTCACCCGGCTTATTATGTGTATCAAGATTATATTTTGATATGGTTTTTTTTTTTGTGGCCACCCAGACAACATTTGTTTTGGAATGCCATATTTCCTTGATATAGAAACAGATAGTTCTCTTTTGTCGAATTCTCTTAGTATTATGTTGTTTTTTTTTTGTTTTTTTTGTTTTAGTTCTACTTGTTAGCTTTCTTTTAGCAACCTTGAACATTTTTAGTAAATGAAATTTAATCGAAAATTACCCGAGTCAAAAATATCAGTGAAAATATTTAGTTTCTTAAATTTTATTTAACGCAAAGATATTTAACTTATTGAACGTTCTAAATTTTTATTTTTAATCGATGCTTTTGATTTTTAAATAAAATAGTTAATAATAAATAGAACTAAATTAAAGCTTAATCGAGTTGAAGATGTCAATGAAAATGTTTAATTTGGTTTAATTTTATTTGAAGAAAAGGTATTTTATTTTTGAGCCTTATTTTAAGTTTGACATTTTTATAGAGTATTGAAAGTTTTGTTTTTATATGCACTTGTATGCAATTTAAAATAAATGTCTTATTTAAGCATAGATTTTTTGCCGAAAGAACCTGAAAAAACAGTACCAGTTATTAAATGGTACGACTTAACCAGGGTACAACTAAAGCGGATGATTTATATAAAGTTAATAAAGAATATTCAAGGATAGTTAAAAATCCGACCAACTTATCCAGAGTACAAGTTAACGGAATTCTACTGTCTGTGCAAATCTTTAAAAATATACTTCAATAAAGGTGTTTTTTTAAATGTTAGAACAATTTAGACAACTTTGAAAATATCTGAAAGAATACATTTTTTTAAAATAAGTTATTTATATTTCATAAAGAGAAAAAAGCAACAACTACTAACAATGTGTGACGTAAGTTTAAAACGAAATGTAAAAGGCTATTTCTCTCTATAGCTTTCTTCAGTTTTAGACAAGTTTGTTGTAAGATATATCAATATAAGTCACAAGAATAATGTTGATTGGTTGAGCATTTTATATGAAAGTTATGAAAGATTATTATGAAGTTAAGAATGTTGAAATTAATAAAATACTAAAAAGTTCTTTAATTTCCGATAATTTTTATTTCTTGCACTAGGTTCTTTTATAAGATTTTTATAAATATATATACAATATTTCACATTACAATATTTCAATATTTATTGATATTTTATCTTAATTGTATACACGTTTTAAATAAATGTGTTTAACGTTTTTCTATTAAATAATTTTGTAATATCAGAAAAGGTTTAAGCTCATAATTGTTACAAACAAAATTTAATAACATAAGCATTACAATAAAAGGTATATCTTATTATAGTCTAATCGCACTTTAAAAAAAAATATTTTAGTTACATTTTTAATATGAAATCTCTCACAAACAAAAAATGTTTAATTTTATATTTTGAAACTTCAATTATATATTTCGAAAGCAATATAATTTTTTTGATCAATTATAATAAAAATAAATAAAATTACTTAATTATAATTAAATTTTTATTCAAAAAACATGTCAATAGATAAGATAAACACTGAAAAATATTTTTTTTAAAACTAAAAGATTACATGCCCAAGCCAAAACCTTCGTCATTGTATTTATACTACACTGTGCCTATCCCTAGATAAGCAGTCAATATGTATATACACAAGGTGCGCATTTACTTCAAAAGTCAGTCAACGTAAATACTACGTCAGTACTCCACTGCGCTAGTTTAATTTTAAAGTTAAAAACCAATAGTAAAAAATCTAATTTCTTTAAATTCATTTTAAATTCGATGGTCTTTCTTTTTCTAATTAAACTTACAAAAAGACTATAATTAAATATAGTCTATTTGCACGTGAAAAACGTGCGAAACTACACACCATAAAATAGATAAATCTGTTTTATTTTTTTAGGCAGTTTTGTCAATCGTATTGCAGCATATTCTTTCGATACTCAAAATGGAAACTATCAAATGGAAGGTTTTATTAAAAGTATTGATCTTTCACCTTCAAACCTTCCCAACAATTCTTTCAATTCAAGTAAGTCATGAACAGTTTTTAAACATTGTCTATTATATTAAAACGTCCTCATTTTAACACTTGTAAGGTTTTAAAAGATTTCAATATCTAAGTTTTATATTTAAACATGGCTAATGGATGATTTAAAGCGTATTTTAAAATGGAATACATTTCCTAGCATTAAATTAATTTGGAGTTAATTCAATTTAGAATAAAAATATCAACATTTAATATATATATATATATATATATATATATATATATATATATATATATATATATATATATATATATATATATATATATATATATATATATATATATATATATATATATATATATTTATATATATATATATATATATATATATATATATATATATATATATATATATATATATATATATATTAAATGTTGATATTTTTATTCTAAATTGAATTAATTCCAAATTAATTTAATGCTAGGAAATATATTGGTGTTTATTATTGTATCTGGTTGAGATACAAATCCTCTTGTTTACTTGAGAGTGATCAATATAATGTAAAAGCAATTTTTACAAAATAGATCAAAATATATATAGAATATAATTAAATACTTTATAATGGAACTAAAAGTTTCATGTCTATAGGCAATTTTCAGCCATATATATTAACCCCCCCCCTCCTTTTCCCCTTTCCCTTTTTCCCTCTTTCCACTTAGAGATTTATAGAGATAAAGAATAGATAATGAAATATATATGGCTGAAGATTGCCGATAGGCATGAAACTTTTAGTTCCATTATAAAGTTGTATTTTTCTATTTAATTATACTTTATATATATATATATATATATATATATATATATATATATATATATATATATATATATATATATATATATATATATATATATATATATATATATATATATTCACGTTATTTAATAAGTTTTAGGCTGTCAAAATTCAATAAAAAAGCAGACTTTATCTATATAAAAAGGATACTTATCGCCTCAAAAAATTTTTTTTTATTACTTATAAATAGTTTGCTTTTTTAAATAAGACAATAAAGAAATATTATAAGTTTATCTTTAAAAGAAAAACAGTATATTATTCTCTGATTTTCCTCTGAAGGTAATGGTAATGGATACATCTATGCTGTTGGTAATGGAAATAACAAACTTCTTATAAGCTTAACTGGAAACTCGTATACAGATATAGAGAATTTTGACATTCTTATATCTATGGCATACGAAATTAAAAATGGAAGCTATAGTGAGCTTTTTTTATTACTCTTATTTTAATATATATGTAACTTTTATAATTATAATATATTATATTTTTGTTATTATAGTACATTTTATGTGATAATATGTGATAACAGAATCTACTTATATATAGTTATAATGTTAGTTTAAAAAAATTTAATTTTTTATTAAATAAAGCAAACTTTACAATTTAAATTATTTAAATTACTAAAAAAACAGTATTTTTCCATTACATTTATTAAAAATAGACTAAGGTCACCTTTGCATTTTATTTAAGTCATTTTGTTATCAGAGAGAGAGTGATAGAGAGAGAGAGAGAGAGAGAGAGAGAGAGAGAGAGAGAGAGAATAATGAACAGAGTTTTTTTTTAATGACTTCTCTAAAAAATATAATATATATAAATAAATATAAATTTATACTATTAATATATCTCTTTATTTTAAATTAATAACAAGGTATCTATACTCCCTTGAAATATTGTAATAATATCAGCAAAAAAAAAACAGATGGCAACTAAAGCAGACAAAACAACATTTACAAATTATTTATCGACCTTTTAACTAAAAGTAAGATTTTAAAATGTCATAAAAAGACAACGTTAGGGAAAATATCATGCGTAAATATTTGCTAAAAACAGTTCCAAAACACCCCTGAATTGTTAGTTATGTTATTTAACGTCTTTCCCCTAAAAAAATTGATTAAATGTTTACCTGTTGGTGATAGAAAGGAGGATTTTCAAAATATAAAACTGGTTAGAAAACTGGTAAACACCATTAAGATTACGTCCAGCTTCTTACTATGGGAACGCGCAAAAAGATAGAGTTTTTCTTCTAGTTTGTTGCAAAAGTTCAAAATAAACATGGTCTTTATTTTTCCAAATTAGGAAATAAGCCCAACCGTTCTGAAATTTAAAAATAAATGTGTAAAAACTAACTGCAGATAGTTACATGAATACTGTGCTACTGAAAATAATGAAACTATTGAAAATTATTGAAAATAAACAAAACATAACAAGCTTGCTAAAAAAATCTTGATTTTGCAAGCTGATGTGACAAAAAATTAGCACCCTATATTTAAGAGTTCACAATTTCTGGTTAAATAAAGGCTTATTAGTGTTTACAATAATGTCTTCTATCTCTCATTAAATGACATGGTAGAAAACATGTCTTATAGCCTGCTTTGAGAGTTATTAAAAGATACTGGGTAATTATTTAACGAAAAAGGAAGAAATAAAAAAAAATCTGGCAGTAACGTTAAAAATTTAAATACATCATTTAAAAAAGATTTAAGCAGCTTCGGTTGTTTTTATGTGTGCAAGCTAAAGGGCACCACCAAGGCAAAAATTTGAAACTTTATGAAATTTTTAGTATATTTTGAAATAAAAAAATATACTAAAAACGAGTAATAATAAGTCATATACCAGAAAGCGTGTATCATTTTAGTTAGCTAATTGTTTTAAAATGTCATTGTATTAGTATTATTCAAAATTCAAATAAGTCTGTTATCAAAACAATTAGTTTCAATTGAAATGTAATCAAATAGAGATAGGAAGCGAGAAAAAACGTTGCATTTTTTCATTGAAAATTCTGGTGTACCAAACAAAACAGTTTCTAAAGAGTTGCAAATTGCTTTGAGAACAATGCAAAGCGTTATGAAACGATTTCAGGACACTAGTACAATCAAAAGGAAACCAGGAAGTGGAAAAAAAATGTTTTGTTAGACGAGATCTTGATAAAAAAGTTAAAGATGCCTTAGGCAGAAAACGGAGACTTCTGTTTAAACTTTAGCGAATAAATTCAAGATAAGTGCTTCCACTATACAAAGAGTGAAAAAAAAATTATGGTTATAAACCTAATAAAAAGAAAAAAATTACTTCTCGAGAAGAAAAGCAAGAAAATGTTGTTCAAAGTTATGTGCTAAAAAAAAAATTTTGTGCTAAAAAAAAAATTTTGATTATTGACAATGAAACTTATTGCGCTGCATATTTCCGATCTCTTCCAGGAAACCAATATTCTTCAGCAATTAATTGAAAGAAACTAAATTCCAATTATAAATGCATTGGAATGCAAAATTTTGCTAAAAAATATTTAGTTTGGCAAGCGATTTGTGAATGTGGTAAAAGAAGCTCTTGTTTTGTGACTACCGAAACAATAAACACAAGTATTTACATAAAGGAATTACTCAAGAAACGCCTTCTGCCGTTTATAAGAACACACACAGGTAACCCGTTATTTTGGCTCGATTTAGAACCATGTCACTACTCTGGGAAAACTTTAAACTGGCTTAGAGAACATAAAGTAAATTTCCTTGAAAAACACTGCAACCCACTGAATTGTCCCTGGCTACGTCCTATTGAAAGATATTGGGCTCTTGTCAAAAGAAAACTAAGGTTCAATGTAAAAGAAGCCAAAAACATTAAAAACTTTAAAAATAAATAGATTAGAGCTCCAAGAAAATTCAGCAAAAGACTGTGCAAAAGCTGATGATGTGTTAAACGCAATGTACGTGCGTTTTTACGTACAAAACTTAACAAACTTTATTAAGTGAAATTTAAGAGTATTAATATATGTACTTTTAAGATATAAATAACACCCAATATTGAAATACAATAGTTAAATTATTATCCTTTCAAATGTCCACGTAGATATTTTATGGTACATGTCTTGAACATTAATCTGATTCATTTTTTCTAGATGCCTCCTCTTCATATTGTTGTAGTTTGATCTTTGATTCTGTAGTAAGAACTCTAATGCCTCACTGATACATAATATCTTTTATTTTTGCACTTTCTTCTTTCTGGTACTCCTCAACGAAGGGCTGGAACTTTACAGAGATTTGTTTAAAATATCCCTATTCCAAATTTCTCTAAAAAACTTTACCGAGAAGTTCTGTCTATAATAACAGAAGTGTTTATTTTAAGCCTCTGCCTTAAAATCTTTTGACGTTAGAGGTTCAAATGAACTTTGAAAGATGTTAGAGTCGCTATCTGAAGTATTTTAAAATTTTCGTTTAAATTTTTGCTGCTGTTAGCCATCACAACCCCATTTTGACATCATCTCTTAAATATTTAGATAAAGGTTTCCAAAAATTTATCTAAATATTCTCACTAATGTCTAGATGTATGTTCAAGAATATTTTGTAGTTTAATTTCGCAACACGTTTCTAAAACTGTCATTGACTCTTGTGGCGAATAACATTATTTTTTTAATTTTTTCAAAGCGAATAACATGGATAAATATTTTTGTTGGCCGCATGAATTATTTCATATTTTCTTCTTGTCATATCAACTTCCACAAATATTGATAATGCTTCTGATGGTGTGTGTTTTTTTATAACAATATTCTGAATGAAATTAAAGTTTTCTCTATATTTTTTGATTTTACCGGTTAACAGCTAATATCTTTCATTATTACGTCTAAATCCTTTTCCAATTCAGTTGTAATTAATTTTTGCTTTAAATTATTGTTAGCCATGTAATATTTATAACTTTAATTTTTTTTTTACCAATATGCATGATTTTACATTTTTCAATATTGAATTGTATTTTCCAGTTTATTACCCATTTTTCTAACATAGCAATGTCATTTTGTAAAACATGTGCATCCGTTTCGTTATTAACTTCACCTATTACTTTACAATCATCTGCTTATAACAACAATTGGTTTATAAGTTGACTTGGAAGATCATTGATGTATATTAAAAATAAAATTTGACCAAGCACAGAAACTTGCGGTACAATGTCTAAAAAAATTTCGTAGTAGAGGTTGCTACCAAAAAATATTCAAAGTTCTACTCCCCTACCATTTAACTTAGAATATGAAATTGTTTGAGTTTTATTTATTTACTGAAAATAAATTAATAAAAAAATTAACCTTTCAAAATATAAATTTTTTTAGAGATATCAAAATAATCTCTGTATAGATATGAAAATAATCTGTGCAATTTGATTTAAAAACTTTGAAGAAGCAGCATTAGTACTTTACATAAAATGTCTGCAATTACCTTAATGTATTATTTATATTATGCACACATATTCTTTAATCATCTTATTGAAGTAATCTTATTGAAGTTGAGCAGAAAACTTCAAAAATACAATTTACGATATAGTAACAACAGGTGTTGCAAATGGTAAATCAAATGATTTACCATTTACAATACCTGTTGTCATTATATCCATGTACTCTAGTAGATTAGTTGTGTATCTTTTACCTTTTGTAAAACAATGTTGATTAGAAAATAACAAATTGTTAATCTTTAAATAATGTAAGAATTGGTTAGATGTTAAACATTCTAAAGTTTTACAAAGAATTGAAGTCAAAAAAACTAGCCTATAGTTTAAAACTTTATTTCTACTGCCATTTTTAAACAGAGCGTTGTGTTTGCTGCCTTTCATGAAATAGGTACTACACCTTCATAAATTGATTTGTTAAATAATAAAGTTTATGGATTAGAAAAACCATTTACACATTCTTTTAATACAAAAAGATGAATCTCATCTGGTAAAACCGATATTTTTTGGTTTATAGCATTTCTCATATTATTAACTTCAGTTGAGGTAATACTAATAAACTGTAATAAATTTAAACACTTTTTTTCAAATTTTGGTAAAATATCATCTTTATCTCCCATAAATACTGATTAAAAATATTCTTTCAAAGTATCAGCGATCTGCTTTTGGTCCGTAATGATGCAAGAATTTTAATCTTCAATTGAAATTAAATAATTTTTATTTTTCGTTTTCTGTTGATATAGTTAAGCAGAAATTTTGCATTGGATTTTGCTTTTTTAGCTATGTATTTTTCGTACTCTTTTTATTTTTTAAATTTGTTCATATATTTCTCTTTTTGCTTCATTTTATTGGGATTTTTTTAAACTATCTTTCCATCAAGAGAATCTATTAATAGACCCGAGTTTATTCTTTTTTTGATACCAGCTATAATCTCTTTGTTAAGAAAAATTTTTCTGTTATCATGATTAATTTTTACTAATGAAATAAATTTTTTTCAA